CCTATCATTTCATATTTCTTCTCACATTTTTTTTTTCAGTACTGGGGACTGAACTCAGAGCCTCGTGCTTGCTAGACAGAGCTCTACCACTTGGGCTACACTTTGCATCCAGCTAAGCATTGAGCAGCTGGTCTTCTTCTGAAGTGCCAAGTTCTCCATTGTCTACTTGCCATCTCACTCTAACCACAATGCTTTTTTCCTATTTTTTTAATTCTTCTGGGAACCTCTGTAGGAATGGAATTGCTTGCTGATTTGATAATTCTATGTTTAACTCTCTAGAACCCAGGCTGGTTTCAAACCTGAGAACTTGATGCCCAGCCTTTACAGATGTGCACCAATACACAAACTATTGGCTTAACTTTTTTTAAAAAAAGGTGGAGGTACCGGGGTTTGAGTTTGGGTTCAAACCACTGTGCTTAACCACCAAACCACTGAGACATAGCTCCAGCCCTGATTTTGGCTTACTGTGTGTGAAATCTTGCCCAGAAACATGCCTGGGTGAGATCTACCTATGTTGGGCTACCTGGTAGCTAGGATGATAAGTGCACTACCACATCCAGCTCTTCATTGAGAAACAAAATTCTACGCAGGCTAGCCTAGAATCAAGATTTCAACAGTCTCAGACTCCAAGGAAGCTAGATTACAGGCAGATTGCCTAGAGGTGATTCCTAGGACCAAGCCAGCTTAGGAAACCCTGGGCTAGTGAATGCTTAAAAGGCTATAAACAAAGGCTTGTTTGAGGTTAGATCATCTAGTTTCCAAGATATAGTCTCTTGCACCCAGGCTCTCAAAAGATAAAGCTTCCTTATCTCTGGCTTGTGACCCTCTTCTGAGATGCTCCCGATTAGCTCCTACCTCAGGGCAGTTGCATGCTTTAGCCCTTTCCAGTTAGGCATGCCTTCTGTTTAGTCTAGAATTCCATGTAAGGGGGAGAGAGAGAGAGAGAGAGGAGAAAGAGAGAGAGAGAGAGAGCATCTTAGTTGCTCCTTCCAGAGCCAATCACTGCTTATGGCTTTTCCTTTTTGGTAAACCATAATAGTCCTATTATGTGCAGTTAATTTTTCAGATATCATGGGTAATTCTCCCTGAGAAAGGGAATTGTGTCTCCCTTTTATAGATGTGGCCCAGGGACATAAAGGACCTCATTTAAGCCCAGTTACTCAGGAAGCTGAGATCTGAGGACCACAGTTCAAAGCCAGCCCAGGAAGAAATATCCATGAGACTCTTACCTCCAATTAACTGGCAAAAAACTGGAAGTAGCAGTTTGGCTCAAGTGGCAGAATGTCATCTTTGAGTGAGAAAGCAAGCAAGAGCTCAAAGCCCTATGTACCAACACACATACACACACACCACCACCACCACCACCACCACCACCACCAAAGATCTCATCTAAGGTCACATACCTAATGTGTGGCTATGCATGAATTCAGCCCATGTAATTACATAGCTGTGGCACATTCCACTCCACAGCACTGCCTCTCAGAGGTTACTCCTCTATCTCTGGTTATAGTCCACTGGATATTTTGCCTGTTGCCAAGCCTTTCCAACTACATTCAGTAATTTCTTTTTTTTTGTTGGTTGTGGGGCTTGAACTCTGGGCCTGGGCCATGTCCCTCAGCCCTTCAGTTCAAGGCAAGTGCTCTACCACTTGAGCCACAGTGCCACTTCCGGTTGTCTGGTGGTTAATTGGAGATAAGAGTCTCATGGACTTTCCTGCCCAGCCTCCTAAGTAGCTAGGATTACAGGCATGAGCCACCAGTGCCTGGCTTATATTCAGTAATTTCAAAACTACATCTCCAAAACACCTGAGACCATCCAAACTTGGGAAACTTCAACATGGGCTTTAGGAAAAGGGAACTCAGAGAGTAGTTATGGAGATGATGAAAGCCACCGCCTCTGAGCACAGATGGCCACGTGTCCCCATCCCATCCCCATCACCACATCCTCCAAGAGCTGAACCAAGCCGGAAGGGGATATCACCTCAGCTTTGGGCAGCAGGAAAGAAGTTGACCTCTGGGAGGGACACAAAGGGGGAGGGGTTTATAGCAAAGGGGAAAATGGGAGGGGCACCCTCTCCCAGCAAAACAAAAGACAAAAGTTTCCAGGCACATCAATCAAGCTAGTCTTGTGACTTACATACCACATTAGTTCAGGGGTCTAGGACCTACAGGGCTCTCATTTCATGATGCTTCATATCCAAGTACCCCAAGAAATCCTCAGCAGCTAGCAGTGAACCTTGAAGGAAGGCCAAGGGACATGCCTCCAAGATAGAGCCTAAATGAGCCATGTATTAGGATAAGTGCCAAAAGACTGGAGAAGGTTGCCCAGCAGAGCCCTGCCCCTCACAAGCTCCTCACAGGCTCCTGGTAGTACCCAACAATTCTCCTTTCCCCACAAACCCTTCCCCAGCTCCCCAAGAGACTCATATCTAAGTAAAAACCCTCACTTGCTAAACAAATGCCATTTCACTCCAACAAGATGGCTGCCTCAACCTGATTTTATTTAGAAATTTCTGAAGCTACTATTAGCCTGTGGATCAATGCCATGTTACCTTCTGGAGGACCTGGGGAGAAGACATACTGTACATTTGTTAGGGTGATACAAGGGGACAATCTCTGTCCCCCACCCCCAGTGGGACCTGGACTCAGCACTGTAGCTGGAGGAAGAGGAAGAACAAGAAAAAAGGAGGGAGAAGGACAGGGGAGGGGGAGATGGAGGGAGGAGGAAAAGAAAGAGGAGGATAGGACACTGAAGAGAAAGACAGCAATGGTGCTGCAGAATGCACAAAGACTTCATGAAGAACAATGCCCTTCTCATATTCCAGAATGGATATTTACAATGGCCATGTGGAAGTTAAAACGAAAGCAGGGGGGAAAAAAAGATAACAGTAGAGGTGTACAATGAGATGTGGGTATAAGACTGCAACCAAAGTACCAGCAATCTCTTTTGGAGCTCAAACTTCTTTTAGGTATAAAAGAGGATGGGACAAAAACATGTCATGAGGTAGAAGGAAGGCCAACATGACCTTTGAGAGTTTCTTGTCATGTGAAGGTCACCACAACAATGCTCAGAGACCCTCACTCTCATCTTGACACCCCCAACCAAGTCTCTCCTTCTGGAGTTTCTGACTGGCTTGCTACCTGCTGCTAGTTCCTGTCTTTTCATCTGTGACCCCTGCTCCCTACATCTGTGCTTCTCACTTCAGACCATAGCTATTTCTGCTCTTTTAGTATAGAAGGGTTGGAGTATCTTCCTCTTCCCAAAGTCACAGCTTGCTGAGGTGAAAGGAAATGTGCTTCTCCTAGGCTCTCTTGGTGTTTAACTCTAGGCACCAGCACAACAAAGGGCACACTACCTGCCTCCTCTACCTCATTCATCCTTCATTTAACATGTTTATTTAGCACCCACTATGTGCCAGGAGCCAAGGATATATGGTAGTGATAGAGATGACAGTCTTACCCCAGTGGCCAGTGCAGCAGACTCCATGTTGAGCAGATTCCCAAGCCAGGACAGACTTAGGTGTTTGGGAGCTGCAATTCTGAAATTACTGAGTATATCTGGAAAGGCTTAGCTGTAGGCATATATTCATAGAAATATTCTGCAATTCCTATAACCAAAAAAGAGCCATATTTGAGGTATCTGAAGAACCACTACAAGGCAATAAGATACAAAGCTTAAAGACTGGGAGACATGGCTCCAGTGATAAAGTGCCTACCTATCAAGCATGATGTCCCAAGTTCAAACCCCTGTACTGAAAAAAAAAAAAGTTTAGGGGCTGGGAAGGTAGAGCGCTTGCCTTGCATGCCTGAGGCCCTGGGTTCTATTCCTCAGTACCACATAAGCAAAAAGAAAAAAGCTGGAAGTGGCGCTGTGGCTCAAGTGGTAGAGCGCTAGCCTTGAGCTGAAAGAGCTGAGGGACAGCGCCCAGGCCCAGAGTTCAGGCCCCACGACTGGACCCAAAAAAAAAAAAAAGTTTAAAGACCTAATGCTTGAATAATTATCCAAAAGGCAGATACATATATGAAATGGTGGCCAATTTCATTGGTTACCAGGGGAATACAAATTTAAACACCAATGTAATACCACTGTTAATTCACCCACCAGAATGGCTAAAATTTTTAATCTTTTTAGATTGACAACACCAAGTGTTAGTAAGGATAAAGAGCACACAGAGCACCAGGCATTGCTGGCAGGATTATGGATTAATACACACTGGAAAATTGTTTAGGAGATTTACTAGAGCTAAACACATGCCTGTGGAAACAATGACCCACTAATTTTGTTCCTGTATATATTCCCAATAGAAGTGGGAACACAAGTGCACCAAAGGACATGAACAAAATAACCACAATTGCTATAACTACAGAGAACCCAAATGCCCATCCACAGAATACAGATATATTGTAGTATATCCATTTCAGTGGTCTACTATACAGCAATGAACATCAATCAACTACTGCTATCACACTGCCAATTAGTCTTCTAAACATAGTACTGAGAGAAGTCAGATACAAAATAATTACTAAATGGTTCTGTTGGTATAAAGTTCAAAGGCAGGCCAGCATAACTAGTTTATAATAATAGGCAGAAGTCCCATTGTGGAGTAGTGACCAAGATTTAAATAGGAGGACTTCTCAGGTGCTGAGAATGATTTAACTCATGATCTGATTGGTAGCGATCTGGGTCGGGTCACTGTGTCATAGTATTGGGTTTTATGCAATTTCCCATATGTCTGGTGCACTTCAACTTGAAGAAACAGAAGAGGGGAACTCGTGGTGTTTTCAGATTGTAAAAAAAGAAATGAAAAATGGGAAGGAATAGTAGAGAGACCGAGATCTTATACACAGATACTGACTGCAGAACTGTGGCAAGATTAAAGGAGACTGGTGAATGTTGCAGGGCAGACCTTGTCCCCAGATACATTCGACACACAGACTGAAATGTCTCCAGAAACATCAGCTTTAATTCTCCACCCAATCCCACCCCTATTCGCAAACTTGATCCTTCTGGAGAATCACTAGTGTTTGCCAGTCTAAGAGCAACTTCTGTCTCCAGGCAGACTCAAGCCTTTGAAGCCAAAAAACCGGCTTCAAAGATACTGACATTTGCTTTGCTAGGCCCTGTGAGACTTCAGGCCCTTGATGCAAATGGGCAACTGCTGAATTAGGAGTACTGGAGTGGGGGGCGGGGTATGTGTGTCGTAGTCTACAGGAATGACCAGCAGGGGCTGCCGCGTGCTCCTACGTTGTCCACGTGTGCCCAAAGCTCCACCGCCAGCCCTGTCTCCTCTGCCCAGGCACAACCCTGCTCCAAACCCCGTACCGGGGGGGCTGGAGGCATGCTGGAATGGGCCCCCTGTGCCACTTTTCCGGGAGGAAGGGGACAGGAAGGAACCAATGGTCACAGGTTCCACTCACAAGAGGGAAAAACCTGGGAGTGGGGGGTTCCTTTATGGAGGTCACATGCCCCGCACAAAAACATCCCGAAGAGAACTGGTACTGACTGAGTTGGCGCCGGGGGGTGAAGACACCCCAGGGAGGAGGCGGCACCGCGAGCGGGGGACGCCCGTCTCTGATCCCACAAGGCGCGTCAGGGAAAGTTGGACTTCATTTCGCCCAGGATGGAGACAACTCCTCCCTCACCCCCACGGCGGCCACGAGGCTCAAGGGAGGGTCAACGGAAGCCAGGTGATGCGTGTGGGACCTCGGCCAGGAGTCCGGCCGGGCCCGTCCCCACCCCTCCCAAGGCCGGGACTTTATTAAGGCAGGAGACGTCAGGGGGGAGCCATTAGCTCCGAGGAACGCGAGACCTGGCGGGAGCGCGAGGCGACCAGCCTGCGGAGAGGAGTCGGGTCCAAGAAGGTAAGGGACGGTTGGGTCCGGTTCCTGGGATCCGAGAAGGCCACGGGAGCGCGGCCGGCGGGCCGCCCCAGCAGGGACGGTCTTCGGGAAGGCCCGGGGCTCGAAGGAAACGCTCGAGATGCCGGGCAGCCGCGCAGGCGCGCGTCCGGATGCCGGGCTCGGGGAGCGGGCGCGAGGGGTGGTGCGCCGGGCCGCGGGGAACCCGGGGCCACCGGCCGATGGGCGCTGGGACCCGCGAGCCCGCGGCACCGAGCTCGCTCTCAGTTCCCGTCACTCCGCGCCGCTTGCGTTTCCCCGCACGCCCTTCCTCCAGCGCAATGAGCGAAGGAAAGGGGCGGGGCGGCCCTGGGCACGCCCCCTCTCCGGCGTCTGATTGGCTGTTGCGGTTGTCTATCTAGAATCTTTTTTTTTGATGGAATGGGCGGAGAGGGGAGGGGGAGGGTTACCACCCAGTCTGCCCCAGATCACGTTTGCCACCGGCAGCCAACCAGTCGTGCCCAAGTCCGCGGGCAAGAAGCGATTGGGGGCGAGTGAGCTGGGCGCCCCAGTCTCCGTCCGGGTGCCCCCTCCCGCGCCGGCCCGGGGAGGTATATCCTGCTCTCCCCGCTACCCCCGCCCCGACCCCGGTGGAAGCGGAGCGGCGGCCTCGCTGAAACGCAGAAGCGAAATGTAGCGCGCCGGGGGTCGCGGCTGGACGCTCGCCTTGGCTGGGGGTGTTGGGGGGGGAGCACGCGGGGGGCCGAGGAGGACTGCCGCGGAGGAGAGGAGTGATGAGAAGAGGGGGTACCCTGCACCCCCCGAGACCACGGGCCCCTGCTGCCACTCGCCAGGCGCCCCCCTTCCTCCCGAGCGAGGGGCAGGTCAGTGCTGTCGGGCCGGGGGGGGGGCGCGGGGGGCGGGAGCTCTGGCGCGCAGCGCATTTGCTGAGTCCGGTCGTGGAGAGACCGCCGCGGCCACCCAGTTAACTCTCACCCCACCCCACCCCACCCCACCCCACCCCGCCCGGGGCTGGGGAGACTCAAACCGGTCTTTGAAGAGGGGATAGGGTGTCCCAGAGCCTGGGGCCCATCCGAAGTCTCTGCCCTTACTTGGGGTGTCAGATGCGGGACCGGCTTTCTTCCTGCGAGCTCCCCTCTCAGGTTAATGGGCCGGCCAGGAAGACAGGAGGGGCAGGACCGTCAGGTTTTAGAGGACACAGGAACTTTTGCTGGCAGTGGATTCAGTGTTCCTCCTGGCTCTCTAGTAAGGATCTCTGAAAAAACCACCGTGCAGGGGGTTAAGGGGGCTGGAAAAGGGGGTCCTGGCTGGTGACGAAGTTGCTAGGAAGAGGACACAATTCCCTGGGGTGAGTGCCTGGAGTTTGACTCAGACTTTCCCCGAACTGGAGTTGACTCAATACTTAGGGGCAGGTTCACCCCACCTGTGGAAACCCTCTCTAAAGTTTAGTGATTTTTTTTTAACTTGTTAGCACCCTCCCGGTGAAATGAAATAGGGTGACATTCAGGAGGGGCGGGGGCGCGATTCCCTTCCTTCTGGCTCCTTCAGGACAGCTGAGAAACAGGATTTAGGTCTGTTGTTTTTTGTTTGAGTTTTTCTGTTTGTTTTGAAGAATTCTCCTTTATCTGTTAGTAACTGGGGCGGCGGTGCGGGTGCTGAGGAGCCTAGGCTACTGAAATGTGTGGATAACAATAACCACTCATTTTTGCATCTGTCCCTTCAAAGGGAGGTAACTGCCTTGGGCCTATCTGATCACAGGCTCACAGGGCCAAGGGTAGAGGGAGAGAAGCAGACAGAAGCCTGGACTGGAGTCAGCCTCCGGCCTTTTTGTAACACTGTTCACTCTCAAGGGCAGGAGTGGGCAGGCCTCTGGCTCTTCGCCATGGTCTGGAGCTATCCTTATTTTCTTTTTTTCTCAGGGCGTTTAGGGGTCTAGGAGCCTTTACTCTCGGTGGTGAGCCTTGTCATTTATTGGCCCTGCAGCTGTCTTGCTCAGTCATCTTCTGTAGTGGGGTGGCTGTGTGACGCATTTGAGACTGAACTTCTAACTTAACCTGTGGAGGGACCACACTTAGCAAATCCTTCATTCTTAATGGGATTCCAGAAAGGATCTCCCTGAGGCTATTCCTGCCCACCCTGGGTCGTTGAGAAGATAGTGCCAACACCTCTTGGTCAGGATCTTCCTGTGGAGCAGTAGGTTGTTGATGAGTTGGGAGGAAGGTGATGGTAGAGCCTGCTGGGGCCTCCAGGTGTAGAAGTGCAAGGCAGAATTGTTAATGGAAAGATAAGGGCAAATAGTGACCTCCATAACAAACTGCTATCTGCCTTGGGGAAGGATTCCCCCTGTGGGAGCTGTTCTTTATAGTAACATGCCCTTCCTCTCCCTCTCTCTTTCTCTCTGTCCCTTACCTCTCTCTTCTCTCTCCCCCTTCCTACATAAGGTTCTCCATACAGATTCTTGTGACTTTAATGACCAGGCAACTGGGGAGGTACAAGGTCTTTCCAGGAAGGGAGGAAATCTCTGGAAGAGAGGGGAAAGACCGGGACAAGCCAAGCCTGGGGTGCTGTGGGAAGCTGAAGGAGGAGACCAGCAGGAGCAGCAGGAAGAAAGCCCAGCCTTTGGTGGAGGTTGTGTTCTTGACCATCTGAGCTCAGTCCACTTCTGACAAGAGGGGCCACCTCAGGGGACACTCAAGACTTGTGTTGGTTGGGCCCTTTCCCTCTGGATGCCCTCTACTCCACTCCGAGGACCCTACACTGAGAACCAAAGATATCCCCCAGGCACAGCACTGGCCAGCCGGGGGAGGGCATCTGCACCCCTAGTGGCCGGCCACTGGTCTGGTGAGGATTTGCTTGTTTCCCTCCAGCCCACGGCTGCAGTGCTTGATGGGGCTGCCTGTTGGCGGATCAGTTTTTGCAGTGCCCGGTAGGAGCCGAGCCGTGGGAAGAGGTCCTGCGGCATCTGAGCCTGGGTTTGCCCCAAGACTAAGTTCTTTCTCAAGTTAGAAAGGGAGAGAGAAAGCAAAGAAAAGGAAAGTTCTCCCCCTCCCCTCCTCCCTGCCCGTCATGTCCTCTAAGCCGGAGCCGAAGGACGTCCACCAGCTGAACGGGACTGGCCCAACTCCCTCTCCCAGCTCTTCTGATGGCCCCGGGCGAGAGCCCTTGGCTGGGACCTCAGAATTCCTGGGGCCTGATGGGGCTGGGGTGGAGGTGGTGGTGATTGAGTCTCGGGCCAACGCCAAGGGGGTTCGGGAGGAGGACGCCCTGCTGGAGAATGGAAGCCAGAGCAACGAAAGTGACGACGTCAGCACCGACCGTGGCCCTGCACCACCCTCCCCACTCAAGGAGACCTCCTTCTCCATCGGCCTGCAAGTGCTCTTCCCCTTCCTCCTGGCAGGCTTCGGAACGGTGGCTGCTGGCATGGTGTTGGATATCGTGCAGGTAAGCCCCTAGTCCAGTGTCTTCTGCCTGGAAGCCCACAGGGCTGCCCTTTGTCTCCTGGCAACTATGACTCTTGGACCTCCCTCTCTACCTCTCTGTCAGAAGCAGCTGCTGCTTCCTAGAATACCATTTCCCTTTGGATGGTGTCTTTGGTTTCTTCACGGTCTTGCTACTTTCTATAGAAGCATCAGGGAAGCTGAGTAGCCCTGGGGAGGTGGGCAGAGCAGTAGCATAAATGGTTCCAGAGAATAGATCTGATGGAGGAGAGAGACTGTTGCTTTCCATATCCTCTGAACACTCCTGCTGAGTCCAGCTCAGTAGGCCATACCTAGATATGGCTCTCTTTCTTTCCCCTTGAGGTTTCAAGGGTGCCCAGGGTAAGAAGCTCAGTTTCAAGCCTCTCCTCCATTCCCCTGCTGGGCAGGAATTTATTCAGCTGCCAAGGAGGGTCTCAGATGAAGTGAGAAAGCTCTTAAAGGCATTTTGCATTGCTCATCTTCTAGCAACTTTGGCATGGTCTTTTTAGGGAACAGGGATGGTCACAGGCTGTCTGATGCATGCCTAGAAGACTTGATTTAACAAGACCTGAAAGAATGTTTATGACCCTTGGATGGGAACAAATTGTAATGAGAACTGGACAGAACTATCTCTCCTCCTCGCTCCTGACTTGTCTGTCATGAACCTGCTCTGGGCAAAAAGAGCTCTTTATGAGACTACCAGGTAGTGTGAGTGATGAAAGTTGGCAGGTCCTGGAAGCCGAGGGCCAGGAACATGCTATATTTAGTGAAATGTGAGTTAGGATTTACCAGAACCTCCAGTCTAGAAAGATAAAGTCTTGTTTCTAGGTAAGAGTTTTGAAGCACAATCATTGTGTTATCAATGTATTGCCAAATGCTGGCTGTATTCTAGGTACTATGAGAAATACAGAAGCAGGAGAAAATGTGGCTGTGTTGTTGGGGATCTCTTAGGATTCCCTGACTATGATAGTCCCTAGAGGAACCCAGAGCTGAGCTTTACCGCCCCTGGGTCAAGCCAACACTTACAAACCACAATTTAGTGACTGCTGGCATGGCTTCCTGTGCCTATGTCCTAGAAGACTGAGGATGGTTTGTTCTAGATAGTACTGTCCTTATAGACCCTGAGCTCGTCAGGAGAACCCTATCTTTGGTTGCTAATGAGAATGGTTTTTGCTAATGAAAATGGTTATGTCAAAGTGCAGATACTACCTCTCTTGCCCTCAAGCCGGTTATTGTGAAATGCTTTCTATAGGGAGGTTAAGAAGCCAGCCGGATTAGGCACTGGTGGCTCATGCCTATAATCCTAGCCACTCAGGAGGCTGAGATCTGAAGATCATGGTTTGAAGCCAGCCCAGTCAGGAAAGTCTGTGAGACTCTTTTCTCCAACTAAGCATCAAAAGAGCCAGAAGTGAAACAGTGGCTAAAGTGATGGAGGGCTAGAGTTGAGTGGGAAGAAATGCTCCAGTACAGCACCCAGGCCCCTGAACTGGCACAAAAAAAATAAAGAAGAAGCCAACCCGGGGCTTTGGCTTTTCCTAGTAGCTACCCCTCCTCCTCAGGCAGTGAGCAAGGAGAGGGAGAGGAAAAGAAACTGGGGTTACTGTTCCCTCACTTCTTCATGCTTTCCCTGTGGCCCTGATTCTAAATTGGTACCTACAGAGAGGTGCAGAGCTGGAACTGTAGCCCAATGGTAGAGTGCTTGTCTAGTATCTATAGGCCCTGGTTTTGATCCCCAGCACTAAGGGAAAAAAGTAGCAGAGAGTTAGCAGTGATGCCGAACCAGGGTCTTGTGATGAACTGGGGAGGGTTGTCTTACTTTCTGGGAAGTCATAATGATAGTGGGGAAGTGTCTGGGGGAATGTTCTGTAGGCCTACATAAGAAAAGAAGCCCTACTCATCTCCATTTTGTAGCTAGGGCAACTATGAAAACTTGTCCCTGTTCATCTATATCCAGAGCCTGAGATATTACCTTGTTGCTTTTTGTAAGGCCATTATTTGGAGACTCTGATAGAAGCCCACTGTTTTTGTCTTCCTCTAAAGAACACAGCCAACTTGAATTGGCAACAATTGGTATTAGCTTTTGAAGTGAAGGAGGACAAAAATTCTTAGAGGGGGAAGAGAGGGATCTACCCACCAACTTCCCACACAGAAGAGGGTTCCAGAGCTGGAATGCCCTCTGAAGTCCCCCCCCCCCACCGCCTCCAGAGACTGGGACATTCGAGGCCTAGGTGATAGGGGCTGCCCAATGTGCCCACAGAGAGCCAGCATTTGCCCTCAGTACAACACCTCAGCTCACTCCAGAGCTAGGGTCCAGTTGGTGCCGTTGACAATGGCTTATTTGTCCCTGTCCTCCTCCCTCAGCCTTCCCACCACAGCTGGGCTGGAGCAGGGCCTGCAAATGGCTGCAGCAGGATCATGGGAGGGGAGGAGCAGAGAAGGACTTGGGCAAAGGACCACAGAGATTCTTAGTCCACATCCAAGGGAATTGAGGGGTGACACAAGACAAGCAGGATGGTTTCTAAAGATTCCTATCTATATTCTCCCTTCCCAAGCTAAGTTGGTTTTCAACAGAGAGTCGGAAAGTACCTAACAGCCAGGGGCCATCTGGAGGAGGTGCCTATACAGAGAGTCCCAGTGTCTCAGAGCAGCTGAACAGAAATCTGTGTGGGTCTCCATTCATATGCCTCCTTTCAGGGCCCCACTGCTGCTAAAGACCTGATCTCTTCCTGGAAGGTCCATTTCTTGTCTGCCTCTTGGCTCCACTATGTATACATGGCAGCTTCTGCATTGAAATAAGGAGCTAGGCACTTGACAGGGTGGAAGAAAATGACCCAACTGCATTCTGCTCCACCATCATGTCTGGCAGTTGTTGTGGCAGTTAGAAAGGAAGCAGGCTTGGGCCCAGTGCTGGCTTCAGAAGGGACTGGATGTGAGCCCCATGCCTTGCAGCCCAGTCTTCACCAGCCCAGGCTGTTACAGGTGCTGTTCCCTTTTTCTCCCTAGTTTTTGTGAGGGATAGGGGTGGCAGGAGATGGCGCACTACCTTTCAGAACTCCCAGCTAGATTAGGACAGGAAGACTGCAAGTCCTTATTTTAACCCACTGTGTACTGGCCAAGGATACAATGGTAGTAGACTTTCTCTAGGATAGATACTTCCACCTCTGTGTATTGAGAAGAGTCTACAAAGAAGGAAGTGGGTGGCAGCATGGCCTCCGGTGGCAGAGTGGGCGGGAAGCAGTCCTCCTGCAGCTGGCCTGCTCCAGTAGCTGCCAGCATTCCTGGCAGGACGCTCGGATCCCGTCTCCCTTGATCACCCTTCTGCTCTTCCTGTCTCTGCCTTCAGCTTTCTTATTCTTTGTACAGCCCTGTACAAAGAACTGAAGCCACAGTTAGATGGAGACTGGAGTTCCTGTGATCTGACCAGACCCAGACCTACTCTAAAAGGTCCCCTATGGCCCAGCTTCCCAGATCCTGTGCAATCTGCTACCTAGAGCTGTATTTGGTGATTCAGTCATCTGAATATCTTGATTCCATCTTTCCTCCTGGGCCCTGGCTTTCTGCCCTTCCACTGTCCTACTGGAGCAGAATGCTTGGAAGGCAGGTGGACATGGATATATGAGGCAGAGGAGGTGAAGGCTGGAAGAGGCAGGTTGTGTGGACAAGGAAGAGGCACCAACAGGGCCTCCAACATGTGAGACCTAAGGCAATTGCTCTGAATCCGGATTGGTTTTGAGTCTAGGGAGATCAATCTCATCCCTTACTTCAAAATTGTCAGGGACTAATGAGCTCTCATCCCCAAGGAAAGAGAAAGATAGGACAAGGGGGCTACATGCCTGAGAAACTAAATCTATAGATCCTCTGCCCTTCAGGGCAGGCCTTCCTGGACCCTTTCCCGGCACAGCAAGGCAGGAAGGTGTGGGTGGTAGCTTGGCTGGTAGCTTAGCTGACTGGTTTGACTTAAGAGGCAAAAACTCCCAGCCAGGATGAACAGGGTGGGCCTTGTGTAGGCCAGAGTAGAAAGAATAGCTACACACTGTCCTTGCCACATCCTACTTTCTCCTAACCTCAGGACCTCCCTGCGTCCTGGGCTGGTTCCACGTCACCAGCCTTCCAGCTCTTCTTCCCAGAATCCTGTGTGTGCCTGCCTGAGCTGCATCTTTGAGAGAGTTTGGTGGGTAGAAAAGAATGTGTATGGAGGAATTAGCTATTCTGGCCCAAGTGCTGGCTTGGGCCTTGCTGGGTCTGAGGTCAGATAATGTGAGCTGTAGGCTGTATTTTGTGAGTGCTGGGAAGACTTCTGCATGGGGCTGTTAGTGTCATGGCTCATTGTCCTTGCCTGTTTCATGAAGTTACTAAACCCCATGCCTTCCAGATACTCTTGCAGTCAAAAGGAGAGGGCTGGCTGGGGGTGGGGAAGGGGGAGAGGAGGAGGGAAATTTGGGAGTTGTTATAGTAGCAGCTAGAGGGCTTTAACCTTTTATACATTTTGTGTTTTAATTAAGACAAGCAGTATTCCTTAAACAATTTAGAAACTATTTCTTGCGTGCCCTGAGAGTGTCTCCTTTTGGGTCCTTCACTTTGCCCCCATACATGCATGTATCTGCTGCATTCACCCACCTGGGGAAGGAGTGTTCAAGGAACATGGAAGCAGGTGTAGTATTTGGGGCTCCGATGAGATGCAGGACTCTGCAAGGAGCTTCCAAAGCTCACAGTCAGCACCCTTGTCAGCAGCGGGAAGAAAGGAGGGACTTCTCTTTGGCGCTGCTTATCTAGTTTAGGAGTAAGGAAGAGGCTCTAGGAAGTTGGATCCCAGGGCTATACACCAGCCACGTCCAGGAATAATACTCCTTGAGCTCCCCAGTGCTGAGGGGGGCTCACTGGGGCTGCTTCGAAGGTGAGACAGGATAGGCACACATATGTGTGCACACAAACACACACACACTAAGGATTAGAGCTCTTTTTCTGGCTGCTTGAAAGCTCAGGCACTGCTCTTGAGGTGGGAGTGCCTCCTCCCATCAGACTTTTCAGAGAGAGGCTTCCTTAAGGAGAATCATAGGGGCTTCAGGAGACCACAAGATGAATCGTAGGTCAAGGAGCGCAGACAAGGGCATGCTCCAGCCCTGATGGCATGAGCCCTCCCCCAGCATCCCCAGATCCTACAAAGAACTCTGATGAGAAAATGAGAGGTCCTTTCTTATGGGAACCAGCCAGTGTCCACTCTGATAGTCTTGCACAACTCTATTGTTGGTGTTTCTTGTTATGTTAAAAGATGCATAACGTAAGATTTGTGATTTTAAGCATTTTGTGTGTGTGTGTGTGTGTGTGTGTGTGTGTGTGTGTGTGTGTATACTGGAGCTTGAAATCTATTGCCTCTTACTCAGTTTGTATGCTCTTGTCTGGTGCTCTAACACTTAAGCCATGTCTCCAGTTTAGTTTTTTTGCTGATTAACTAGAGTCTCTTGGACTTTTCTGCCCAGGCTGGCTACAAACTGTGATCCTCTAAGCCTTAGACTCCTGAGTACCTAGGATTATAGGTTTAACCCCCATTGTTAAGAATGAAAGTATACAGAGGTAGGATTGCTAGATGATAGGGAAGTTTAATTTATTGAGACACTGCCTTACTGTTTCTCACAGTGGTTACGTTTTACAACCCCACAAACATTGTACAAGAGTTCCAATCTCCAGAGCTGTGCCAAAACTTGTTATTTTCTTTTTGCTTGCTTGCTTATTTTTTGTTGCTATTGTTTATTTTTGTGCCAGTTCTAAGGCTTGAACTCAAGGCCTGGGCGCTGTCCCTCAGCTCTTTTACTCAAGGCTAGTGCTCTATCACTTGAACCACAACTCCACTTCCCATTTTTTGTAGTTAATTGGAAATAAGAGTCTCTAGGACTTTATCCTGCTAGGGCTGGCTTCAAGCCACGATTCTCAAATCTCAGCTTCCTGAGTGAGTAGCTAGGATTACAGGCATGAGCCACTGATACCCAGCTTGTTTTATACTGGTCATCCTAATGAGTATGAGGTATTATGAGATTGGTTTTCCTTGGCAACCTTGCTCATCTTTTAGAGCAAAGTAGCAGTGTTGGAATTGTCTTTAGAGCCTATCTGATCTGGCCCCTGAATGGAACATTGTAGAAAGAAGCTTGAGGTCCTTACATCTTATTGAGGTCCCCAGCTGGCAGTGTGAGGGGGCCCATTGGGGAAATAGCGTGAGGTCCTCTCTGCATCTCTTGTAGGAGATCAAGGCTCTCAGTCTAGGGCTCTCACTCAGTACAACTTTCTGTCTCCCAACCACCATACCCAGACCAACCTGTATACACCTGCCCATCCTCTATCTCCAAACCTAGAAACTTTCCATTCTTAAAACAAATAAAGCAAACCACATAGCTAGCCAAAGAAGTTGGCAAGAGAGCCAGGACTGATTGTCCCAGGACAAAAAGCCATGTCTTAACTACTAGGCCAGGGCTCTTCCTACAGAGATACACCTGCTTCTGGCTTAGAGATTGAGGAGGGTCTGCAGGGAGAGGGAGTGCACAGGAGGAATCAAAAGCCCCTTGCAGACCAGCATTCAGATCTGGGGTTCAGAACCTACTCAGGAGAGTTGCTGTGGCTGAGGCCCAAAACCCTTGGAGATAGAAACCAAACAAATGCTCTAATCTTCCCCAGTCCCGTGGAGCCCAGCTCTCCACAGCTGAGACAACATCACCCAAGGCCGAGACCACAGAGAAACTGGGCTAAAGGCAAAAGAGCCAGGGAGTGTGAATTGAGGTGGGATCACAAAGGGGTCTGGGTCCTAAGGAAGCTTGGAGTGGCTTCACTATGTATTTCTAGCACTCTCTCCTACCTGCATTAAAGCACTCAGAGCCTGACCCAGGGGTCTCCCTTGTTCTGGAACGGGAAACAGAACTGTGCTATTTGGAATCCACGAGCTTACACTGCTAGTATGGCTCTTGAAGGAAAGGTGGTTGAGGTGCTCACTCCTGCTGCTCCTGTTTCCTCCCCGCCCCACACTGTTCAGCTCCAACACCAGCCCTTTTGGGCACTGAAACTCTTGGGCTCTGTTTTCACCTTGTAGCACTGGGAGGTCTTCCAGAAGGTGACGGAGGTCTTCATCCTGGTGCCTGCACTGCTGGGACTTAAGGGGAACCTGGAAATGACCCTGGCTTCAAGGCTGTCCACTGCAGTGAGTGTCCTGGCTGGGAGTAGGAGCTCAGAGAGGACTGGGCAGCACTGACACTGGGAGGTGGCTACTCCACTGCCTGGGGAGTAGGCTGGGAAGGAAGGAAGGACCTGGCTGGGCAGGTATAGGGAGATCCCAGGCTGGGTGTCCTGCTCCTGGGACGGGGCTTCCTACCCAGAGTGATTCCCAGATTCTGTTTCTGGATAGCTCAGCCATCCCTGGATGCCTGCCCCACCCCCTACCTCGCAACCTACCTCGTGACTGTTTGTACAGCTTTGACAGGCGGGCATCATGCTGGTCCCTCCATCCGCACAGGTGGGGGCCTCCTCTGATCTCCTGCCCTACTCTGCAGCTGGGCAGGAGTTGAGCCAGACCCTTCTAGCCTGCTCCCAGTCTCCTCCCAGCCATTCCCTTTCCCCACCCCAGCTTGTTCTTTAAGGAAATATAGGGAGGAGCTGCTTATTAGTCCCACCTTCCTTAACACTGTAGAAGATAAGACACATGGAGTGAGAGCAAGAGACTCAGGAGGCCATGGATATCCCTGCATGGCCAGGAGTCAAGAGAAAGGCAGCCATCCTCACCCACTCCCAACATATTCTTTCCTACTCCCCCATGCCACCCACTCCTCCCCATGCACTCGCAGCCTCAGCCCTATGCTAGCTGCCAATCTGTCCATCCCTAGGAGAGCAAGCTGCTGCAGAGCCGGAGCTGAGTCTTGCTGACCCAAGCAGGAGTAGGCTGCCCAAATAAGCAAAGGAGGCAGAGGATGCAATCTGGCTTAGCTTTGCCTGCAAAACAGAGCAACACACTTGCTTTGAGAGCCCACTTCCCGCCCCTCTAAGCTGCAGAAGCTCTGGCTTGTTAAATCTCTCCTTTCACCCCCAAACACTTTCATATCCTGGTCCTAGAGTCTTAGCCATGTACACTGTGCTTTCAGCCAGGCAGGGATGATAGATGGAGCCCAGGCCTTCTCCAGCCTAGAGCTCCATGTTTCCCCATTTCCTCTCCCAGGCCAACATTGGACAAATGGACACACCCAAGGAGCTCTGGCGGATGATCACTGGCAATATGGCCCTCATCCAGGTAGGAGAATAGGGTCAGGAGCAGCTTGTACTTTAAAGGAAATACAGGGAGGAATGATCATTCCCACCTCTTAAGCTTTTCCTTTAGTCAGGAAAGTCTGTAGAGCTAAGATCAGCTGATTCCTGAGTGGGATCTCTAGCATCTGCAAAGTAGCTCTAGGAGGTAACCAGTTACCCAGGAAAATGGCCTGTGTGGGAAGAGCCCTACCATCTCCCATGTCCCATGTCTAGGCTCCAGGTAGTGTAGAAACCTCTTGAGTCCTTGCAGATCTTGGCAATAAGAGCAGGCTCAGGAGTGCTGACACGCCCTCTGCCATTCTCGTCCCATCTCCTCAGGAGGCCACACAGCCTGGGACTCTTTCCCCTTTGAGTCCCAAATGTTGACTGGACTGAAGCCTCTGGTTTGTTGATCTTTAGTCCATCTCCCAAGGAACACCCAGTAACACATCCTGGTCTCCTGCTGTGTGCACTGACCAGTACTAATGTCTGGTGTGAAGCTAAATAAATAAAGACATCCTTCCAGTGGGGAGACTGGACAATCCAGTCCAGCCTATGCCTGGGGCGGGCTGCTGAGGCCAGCAGGAAGTCCCCTGAGAACCCAGCTAGGGAGCCCTGTGTTCCAGGCTTGCCCTGTCACCACACCTCTTCTCAGGTGCAGGCCACGGTGGTGGGCTTCCTGGCATCCATCGCAGCTGTCGTCTTTGGCTGGATCCCTGATGGCCACTTTAGTATCCCGCATGCCTTCCTGCTGTGTGCCAGCAGTGTGGCCACAGCCTTCATTGCCTCCCTGGTGCTGGGTAAGGAAGGAGAGGGGGCACGGGAGTAAAGAGGAGGCCCACAAGGTGTTAACTGCACCCTGGTACCTCAACTCTCTTTGTTGATATCCCTTTATCTCGTCTGCCTCTGCCTGCCCGGCTTCTCCTTCCTCACCAGGTATGATCATGATTGGAGTCATCATCGGCTCTCGAAAGATTGGGATCAACCCAGACAATGTGGCCACACCCATTGCTGCCAGCCTGGGCGACCTCATCACCTTGGCACTGCTCTCAGGCATCAGCTGGGGACTCTACCTGGAACTGAGTGAGGCTCGGGCCACTGAGAATGGCTCAGCTGGACTTTGGGGTGGGCTGGGAGAGATGGGGGTCATTTGCAAACATGCAAGGATTTCTTCTATGTTCTTAGCCATTTGGTATGAACAGTTTATAATAACTGCTAATCTTAGAAAAGTACTGATCCCAACAGCAAGTGCTGCAGGGAGAAAATCAGAAATCTGTGCCTGCCTGGTCCTATGGATCTTGCTTCTCTTGGAGGGGTGAGACAAAAATCAAAAGCTGGAATCTACTTGTAAACCAAAGAAGTGGGTAGGAGGTAGTAGTTTCTGGGATCAGATCAGAAGACCTAGAAGCTACTCTTTGCCTCTAATGAGTTTGGCTCTGGGATAGCTCTCTACCTTGGTTTCCTTCTCTGTAAAATGGAAGGCAAGCCCTACCTACTACCTGGACTTACAGTAAAGATAAAATGTTACAGCTATTTAGTGTAGTATCACTGTTGATCTCTAGGGACATTTTCAGGCAGAGTCAAGGGGAGCTGGAAGCAAGAACCACAGAGCTCATCTCGCTCTCATCTCTGCCTTCCCAGAGCACTGGCGATACATCTATCCTCTAGTGTGTGCCTTCTTCGTGGCCCTGCTGCCTGTCTGGGTGGTGTTGGCCCGCCGGAGCCCAGCCACAAGGGAGGTGTTATACTCAGGCTGGGAGCCTGTCATCATTGCCATGGCCATCAGCAGGTAAGAGAGGACCCCTATACCGTTCCATCTGCCAACAATTTCATTTTCAACCTTGGAGAGAAGAGGTAGGAGGCAGACCCTTAGAAATGCATTTAAGAATATACCAGTCATATGTCTTCCTATTACTAGTGATAGGAACCATCTGAATTGAGATTCTTTCCAAAACAAGGTATATTTGCTTTGGGAACTAAAAAAATACAAGTAGAGCCTGGCACTGGTTTCTCACACCTGTAATCCTAGCTACTCAGGAGACTGAGATCTGAGCATCATGGTTCAAAGCCAGCCCGGGCAGGAAAGTCCATGAGACTCTTATCTCCAATTAACTACCAGAAAACCGGAAGTGGCACTGTGGCTCAAAGTGGTAGAATGGTAGCCTTGAGCAAAAGAGCTCAGGAACAGCGCCCAGGCCCCAGATTCAAGCCCCCTGACCTACCAAAAGGAAAAAGCACAGGTGGATCCAAGGGCACATACGATATTATTAGTGACTCAGGACTCACCTTCTCTCACGTCACCTCTACTTTTCTCTGTTATGACCTACAGCCAAGATTTACACTTTCTTTTCCAGCCCAGGTCTCCCTAATGGGCCCCAAATGGCCTCAACTTGTGATCCTCTTGCCTCCACCTCCTAATGTAAGGGTTACAGATGTGCACTCTCACATCTGGCCTGCCTCACATTTTTTTGTCCCCTATCAGTTCCAATGAGAAGACAGATTCTTTCCCCCAGTAGTTCCACAGAATCCTAGAATAGAATTTCTTGGAAGTAGTGCTGTGGCTCAAGTGGTAGAGTGCTAGCCTTGAGCTGAAGAGCTGAGGGACAGCGCCCAGGCCCAGAGTTCAAGCCCCACGACTGACATAAAAAAAAAAAAAAGAATTTCTTTGGTTCTTATATGGTCACATGTTTATTCTTTTTTTCTTTTCTTTCTTTCTTTTTTTTTTGTCAGTCATGGGGCTTGAACTCTGGGCCTGGGTGCTGTCCCTGTGCTCTTCAGCTCAAGGCCAGTGCTCTACCACTTGAGCTGTAGCACCACTTCCAGTTTTCTGGTGGTTTATTGGAGATAAGAATCTCACAGACTTTCCTTGCTTGGGCTGCCTTTGAACTGTGATCCTCACATCTCAACCTCCTGAGTAGCTAGGATTATAGGCACCTGGCTGTAATGAATTTGAAATCAGTGCCTGGCAACATGTTTATTCTTGAACCAGTCACTATGGGCTTGGGACTGCAATACTCTGCTTGAATGGCCTGGATCCTAGGCATTGAAGCAGTGTCACCTGGTCCACAGTGACTAAGCTTGAGAGAGGTGCTTCTGGTTAAAGCTTAGTGCTTTTACCAGAAAGGAAGATATGTTCCCAGTAGGCAGAACGACAAGAAATCCTGCAGCAGCTCTTCTGGCCAACTTAGAGGGAAGGTACGGTGGTGGCTGTCCAGCCCAGCACCACCAGCTCTTTCTTGGGGCACTGTGCCAAGTCAGGAGGTTATAAGCAGCAGCCAATTCTGTCATGCTGCCCTGTGTCCCCAAGGCTAGCCAGGCCTGTGCTTCTTAACTTCAGAGTAGAGCCCTTCAGTGGTCTTTGTGTTATTTTGATCTTTGTAGCGTGGGAGGCCTCATCTTGGACAAGACTGTCTCAGACCCCAACTTTGCAGGGATGGCTGTCTTCACACCTGTGATTAATGGTGAGATCTTGGCATCAGCTGCTGGGGGGGGGTGGAGAGAGGGGAGATGGGCAGAGGAAGAGGACTTACAGGATTGTCTGTATCGGTCAGCATTCCATCAGACAAGAGAGTTCAAGACTAATAAAAGAACTGCCCTGGAGGTGGGAACTGAGTAAAAGAGCTAACAGATGTTGAGGCACTCAGAGATTAGCAGCCACAAAGCTTCTAGTCCTGAAGTGCCAAGGGGACCTAGAAATCAGAACTCAGTGAGAGATCTCTAACCCCTCCCAAAAGAACAGGGAGGAAAGCTGAGCACTTGTGGCTCATGCCTATAATCCTAGCTAAACAGGAGGCTGAGATCTGACTTGAAATCAGCAAATAGAAGTAGAGGTGTGGCTCAAGTGGTAGAGCACCACTATTGGCCAGAAAAGCAAATGAGAGAGAAGGGCCCTGAGTTCAAGCCCTGGTATACAGAGAGAGGGGAGAGGGGAGAGTCCAGAAAGACCTTCTCTTACCTACTGCTTACCTGCCCAAATCTGAGCAAAAGCAGCCAGCAAGATGGCTAGGAGAGTACAAGGCTTTAAAAGTCAGCTTCCTAAACCAGGCACTCATGGCTCATTCCTGTAATTCTAGCTACTCAGGAGGCTGAGGTCTGAAGATCATGATTCCAAGTCAGCCTGGGCAGGAAAATCCATGAGACTCTTATCTCCAACTAAGCACCAGAAAATCAGACGTGGATCTGTGGCTTAAAGTGGTAGAGTACTAGCCTTGAGCAAAGAGCTCAGGGACAGTGCCCAGGCCCTGAGTTCAAGCCCCATGACAAAAAAAAAAAAAAAAAAAAGCCTCCTAGAGTTCAGGGCACAACTGGAGTGCAGGGTCTAGATTGAAGTGTGAAGGCAAACAGACTAACCAGCAAGCCCACCAGTCCGAGCCTCTGTCTCCTCAGGTGTTGGGGGCAATCTGGTGGCTGTGCAGGCCAGCCGCATCTCCACCTTCCTCCACATGAATGGGATGCCAGGGGAGAACTCTGAGCAAGTTCCTCGCCGCTGCCCCAGCCCATGCACCACCTTCTTCAGTCCAGGTAATGGCAGAGGCTCAGCCTTGGGGTCCATTTCTGCCCTGAAGAAGAGGATCTACAGTTGTGAGCTTTATGTAAATAACAGCTGGGTCGCAGATCCCAAGTTTTTCTCTGTTGGGCTGTGCCGGCAATTCTGAAGAGCACAGCCTGGGCAGGAAAGGACAGCCGCAAAGCTGAGGACCCCATGGTGGGCAGAGATGGGCAGCTGTCTGTCTGCTGTCCTAGACTGTAATGTGGGCCCTCCTGACTGACTTTCTAGGACCAAGGTTCCTCTCCCTGTCTTCCTCACACCCTCTCTCCTCTGGTCCCAGATGTGAATTCCCGTTCGGCTCGGGTCCTCTTCCTCCTTGTGGTCCCAGGACACCTGGTGTTCCTCTACACCATCAGCTGTATGCAGGGTGGGCACACCACCCTCACACTCATCTTTATCATCTTCTACATGACAGCTGCACTGCTCCAGGTACGACCCGGCCACAGCATGGCCACAGGGAGAGTCTGAGACCACCTGCACGCCCTGGAGAGGAGGCCCAGACACCCTGCCCACACCCGGGCAACAAATAAACACTAACAGGGCTCAGAATAGACTGTGGCTCCAGGAAAGGCTCTAACGTGTTATTTGACTTTAGTTGTTTCACTTCTCTGAGCCTCAGCTATCCATTTGCAAATTAAGCAGAATACAGACCAGAGGTTATGGTTTTGAGGTAGGTGCTCAACCTCCATCCCCCACCCCACTGATGGGCCACAGAGCTCCACTTGCATGCTGGGCTTCATTTAAATAAAGGGTCCCACAGCTTAAAGCAGCAAAATCACTGTCCTAGATAATCCTATTCGTAGGAGTTCATCCAGCCTCCCAATTCTGTAATTTCAGGATACTTCCTCCCATGTATTATTGCATTTCATTCAGCCACTCACCTGTTGATAAACACTTATCCCTCCAATGTCAGAAAAGTCATGTGTTAGGAATCTTTGCAAGGGCCGGCCTGAGAATCAACCATATGTTGTTTCCCAGCAACAGCTCCCCAAATTGCCACGCTTCCTTGCATAGGGGAACAGGTGCGTACTCTTGGGAAGGGGAGCTTGTGGAAGCTTTCAGTTCATCTGTAGGCCTATTAGATGATGAGTCTTGGCTCCATTGCCCTTTATGCATCCCCTAGGGGAATACTCTCCATCGTACTTTCTTCTCTAGATCTGTGGAGGAGCAAAGTGTGACACCTGATCCCTATAAAGTTCTTTCAAATCCCTTTACCACTTCCAGTGTGAGTCCCAGGGCTGCTCAGGAGGCTAGATAGGAGAACAGCTGCTGCCATCCAGGGGCATGCCCAAATGCCCCCGGCCATGCTCTTTATTTGGGGCTCCTACAGCTGCTAGAAAGGGTGTGAAGTTATGATATACTGCACCTCCCTCAGGGCTGGGGCCACAGACATACAGGGCAGCTGTGTGCAGGACAGAGGAAATGTGAAGGGTGTAGAACTGCAACCACCTGGCTCCCTTAGAGAGAGGACAGGGGAGCAACTGGGTTTGTCTAAAAATAGTTACCAAGTCTGCCTTCGGGCTCCTTGCATGTGGGTCTTTTAGGGCAGAATTTTCATACCACAGTATTTGCAAAATACATTCAGGAGAGAAACCTCTCAGCTGACTGTTGGAGTTTCACCATGAGAATCCACTTCATTCTCACACAGATGCAGTTATTTAGAAAGCCCGATGTCAGGCATTGTTGCAAGCCTGCCCAGACATTGTGCTCTAGATCAAGTGTATCGCCAGTTTCAAAGTGCACGTGAATCTTGTTAAAACACAGATCCTGATTCAGGAGATCTGTCGTGAGGCCCAAGATGCTGCGTTCTGACAGACATCTCCTAGCTGTGGTTGATGCTCATTCTGGGCCCCACTAGCAAGATTCGGATCTTGACCATTCCCCATTATCTGTAGTAAGAGAGTAAGCAAAGGAGCACAGAGAATCAAAGCAAAAGAGAATCCAGAATCTATTTGGAATTGATATTCATTGGAATCTGCTTTATATTTAGCCCACTTATTCGAGATTCTGTTTGGCTAGGATTAGTGTTAAAATAAACTTGCATTCTTTGAGCCCACAACATCAGAATGGGAAGGGTCAGGAGAAAGCAGCTTGGGATAAGCAAGTGTTACTCAGACAACCATGTTGGCAGCGGCCTCAAACACTAACCTTTTATCTTTCTGCCCAGAGAAGAAATCTCTGTAGGAGAAGCTGACCCCAACTGCCAGCCTCCTGCTAGGCTCCTGGAGAGGCCACCATGGCAGGAATTCGTGAACTAGAATAGGCTGACCCAGAATGAGAGGCAAGAAGGCTGAATTCCTGCATGGGTAGGATTTAGATTAGGAAACCTCCGGTTTAGTAAATTTGAGAGAGGAGAACGTGGTGCTGGAGTGAGCCAGCAGCAACTTCCTTTCTCCTGAGCTTTCACTTTGTCCTGTTGTTACGTGGGATAGATGAACGTACAAAAGGTTAGCCTGGTGGGAAGGTGAGCTGTCCCAGCACAAGCCTTGCAAGACACTGAAAGGGTACAATCCTGTGGCCTCTGGCTCCCCCTGGAGAGAGGGGATGGCTATAGGCGGCCCTTCTGTCTCTCCAGGTTCTGATCCTCCTGTACATCGCAGACTGGATGGTGCATTGGATGTGGGGCCGGGGCCTGGACCCAGACAACTTCTCCATCCCGTACTTGACTGCCCTAGGGGACCTGCTGGGCACTGGGCTCCTGGCACTCAGCTTCCATGTCCTCTGGCTCATTGGGGATCGAGACACGGATGTTGGGGACTAGCATGGCCAGTCAACCCTTTCCCCATCCCTCTGCCCTTTCTCTTTGGAATTTTGTCTTTTGTTCCTTTACCCCTCCCCCACCCACCCCCCTCTCCACACTTTCTGGACATCTCCACTTTGATACCAAATTCTCATTATTTTCAATGGGAATTTTTATGCATTGAGCCAAGTTTGGATAGCAAGAATTCAGGAAGAACAGATGGGCTGAGATGAGCAGTACAAGCAGACTTGAGACAATCACCAAGTGCAATTCCATAGTGGGTGCCTCCAGGCGGGGTAGACTGGGACAGGAGGTTCTGGCTGGGATGGGGAATATTAGGTTTAGCTTTAGTAACTTCAGTCTTGGCCCTAATGAGAAATCCTTTGGGAGTGAGCCTTGGCTTGGGGGTTCTGTTATTATTTTTTTTTTTCCTTTTTGGTTGAACAGAGGGATAGAAACACTCCTGTAGGGGCTGGGAAGTTGGCTCAGTAGTAGAGTGCTTGCCTTGCATGCCTGAGGCCCTGGGTTCAATTCCTCAGCACCACATAAACAAAAAAAAAAAAAGCTGGAAGTGGCGCTGTGGCTCAAGTGGTAGAATGTTAGCCTTGAGCTAAAGAGCTGAGGGACAGCGCCCAGGCCCAGAGTTCAGGCCCACAACCGGACCCCCAAAAAAAAGAAACAATCCTGTACATGAGCACCTACTTTTGTAGAAATGGACCAACTTCAGAGCACTGGGCAGGAAGCAGCCGTTTCAGGGCCCCTATAATCCTACCTTGTGTTCTGCCTTCTGAACCTCAACCCTCTGGCCCTCAGAAAGGAGTTGGGTGGACTGGCATGCCTCTTGCCTGACTGCCTGATCACTATCACTTGTTGACTGTCATCACATCCAGAAGGAAGTAAGCAGTGGCCTGAACTCCCACAGGTTTCCCAAGCTCCACATCCTCCCTGGGCCCACAGGAATGAGTCTGTCTCTGTTCAACCCTCCTCTCTTAATTGTCTAAGTACTCCCTTCCCCAGAGCTTGCCTTCAGGAAAGGTTTCAAGATTAGGGACAGAGCAAAGGCAAGAGGAGAATTAACTTGGAAGTCAGGCAATCAGGGCTGTTTTATTGCTGCTGTTTCTCCTGAAGACTTTATCTTGTGATTACCTTGGCCTCTGTCTCTTCCTAAAAGCCCTCATTGTGTTGTGTCCTGGAGGTCAGTTGTCCTCTCTCTTGACTCCTGCTCCCCTTCAGACACTCATCATTCATTCATTCATTCAGCAAATACACAGCCTCCCCAAGATGAGCTCTTCTGCAGGCATGGTCTGAAATCAATTCACTAACCAGTATTTATTGAGTACCTGCTGTGTGCTGGCACTGACTAGCCAGTGGTTAAGGAATTACAGCTTTAACCTCTCCTCATTCCCCATGTTACAGAGGCCACTTGCCCTTTCCAGTCTGGCAGAGAACATTCCCCCGCATTGTAGGTATTTGTGTCAACTTTCACCAAGACAGCTTTTGCTTTGCTCTCCCCCCAGATTCCAATTTTGCTAGCTCCAGCAGCCCCATTGTTCTATCAGTGCTTGAGTCTCTAAACTACCCTTCCTCACCTTCTCTTCCCTCCACTTCTCCTCACTATATAAAAAGAGGATTTAGAACAATAAGCTGGATCTCAACCTGATGCTTCTCCATCTCTGCCTAGCAGAATGGGGGAAGAGCCAAGCCTCTGCCACTTCCCCATGCATTAATTCAGAAAGCTATCAGTACTCAACATGCAAATGTGGGCACTGATATGCAGATTTTACTAACCTGTGTGTCAACAGCCTCCCCATAAACCCTCCCTTCTTTTGATCAAGAAATCACCTAAGCAATGGCCCTATTTTTACCAGCACCATGCCTTACCCCAGGAGCTTACCCTGGGCCTTTAGAAACTCTTTTCTCCCTCATTTCCTCCCAGGGCACCTCTGGAATCATAGAACCCTAGACTTGGAAAGAATTGTAGAGGTTTTCTAGTCAGAGTTCTGTCCAGCAGAATTCATTAACACCAGCCTGGGCTTGTTTCTGCTCCTCCCTCTGACCTCCTTTCATCTTTCCTCCCCTCCTCCAAACACTCTCACACAGACTTTTATACAGGCACTAAATTCTGAGGCTGTGCCCTGTCCCACCACTCACTCCATCCTGTGTCTGGAGTTTGGCCAGGCTGTCCTGGAGACTCTGGAATGTCCCTCCCTCCTCCTTTGCCTAGCAAGCAGGAAGGTCGATGTGCCCCAGGCTCAGTGGAAGCAGAGGAGGACTGTGGGTTGAGGGGGAAGGAAAAGGAAGTTGACTTCAATGGAAGAGTAATTTCTTTCCCCCTAATTGCACCAACCACATATACTTTTGGCCTGGCTGCAAGGAATATTGGTTTACTCTTGTATCCTTCAAAAGTTACAGAACTGTGTCATAAGAGAATTATTTATAGTTACTATAACTGAATTGACAGATGTCAACTTAACTGATAAATTATATTTGGTAAAATAAAGAGGACGTTTATTTAGATGGTTTGTGTGCCTGTGTATCTCATGAAAAATCTTCAGTGGTTTTCTTGGGCCCCCTCTGGTAGCCAGAAAACAAAGAGAGATTTGAGTGACTAAAGCCTCCCATTAGTCCCCATCCCATAATAATTTGCACCATGCTGAGGAACAAGCCTTTACCACGTGGGCCATGAGGAGGCATTCAGGTGCAAATTATAGCCGTGGAGCTGCAATATAGCTCAATGACTAGGCAATGTCAGCTGACGCTGGGCGATGGCAAGGAAGCAGCAGATAGAAGGGGTATTGAATCAAGCTTTGGAGGGTGCTGAAGAATTGGCCTAGCAGACTGAGGAGAAAGACATCTTGCAGAGAGAACCATGAGCTAAGCGAGGAAGTGAGCCTAATGCTTTGGGGGAGACTTAGCTTGTTTCCACAAGCCTGGTATGCCTGGCTCAGGCCTATAATCCTAGCTATTCAGGAGACTGAGATCTGAGGATCTCGGTTCTAAGCCAGCCCAAGCAGGAAAGAACCTGAGACTCTTAGCTCCAATTAACTACTAGAAAAAGCTAAGGCCCAAAGTGATAACGTTCTAGCCTTGAGCAAAAAAGCTCTCAGGTCCTGAGTTAAAACTCCAGGAGTGACCAAAAAAAAAAAAAGCCTGGCATGCTGAGGGTGATGGCACCACCTCTGAGAAATATTTGTGATAAGACAGCTGCAAAAGAGCAGACTCGGAGCCTACTCACTGCAGACAGCCCCACAATGTTAGATGGCATACACTGGATGTTAAACGATTGCTCAGAAACCAGCCTTTGTGACAGCCCTGGGTCTAAAACTAACTGACATATATTAATAAGGCTATTCTGGGTCGATGGAAAATGGCCTGTTAATTATTTATATGATGTTTTTACTATACAGTATAGTATACCATGCAGTAGACTTAAATAATAGCCCATTTACAACCTCAGTATTATCTCTGATAGTGGTGAGGTAGGTGCCAACACCATTTTACCATACAGACTGAGTGTCAGGTTTAATGCCTTACCCAGGGTCACACCCAGGTCTCAGCCCAGTGCCTTCTACCAAACCTGGAGTGAGAGGAAATGGCTAGCCAGAGATTGTAAAGAATGTAAGCATTGTTGAGATTATAAAAAATATGGCATCAGCTAGCTTCATTTTGCTCATGAGACACATTACTGCCAAATGTTAATTGTCTACTGAGGTATTTTCTAATGGATATTTTAAAACTAACCTCCTGGGAGCCAACTGCTCTATGATGATATTTTTGTAACCTAATTACAGAACTTCCAACCCAGACATCAGTTCGTTGACAGTCGAAAGTTAGCAATCTCCTTCAGTTAAAACTCAGAAAACAATGCATAGTACAGTGCTTTCACTGCTCTGAATCTTATTGCACTAGCTAAATATAAAATCTTTTAATTTGGTTCCCAAGGAAATGCCTGACTTAGAATGAGTTTTAAAAATATTAAAAAAAAAAAAAAAAAAGGCACTGGTGGCTCCAGCCTATAATCCTCAGGAGGCAGAAATTTGAGGATCTTAGTTTCAGAGCCAGCCTGGGAAGAAAAGTCTATGAGACTCTTTCCTTCAACTAGTGGATTCCAGCTCTCTGTTTGTAGCCATGTTTGGTGTATTTTTTTTTCTTCTGGTTGTGGGGCTTGAAGTCAGGGCCTGAGTGCTGTCCCTGAGATCTTTTGAGCCACAGCTCTGCTTCCGGTTTTTGATTGGCTAATTGGAGATCAGAGTCTCATGGGAACTTTTCTGCCTGGGCTGGCTTCGAACCACAATCCTCAGATCTCACCCTCCTGAGTAGCTAGGATTACAGGTGTGAGCCTGCTTTACTGTCCAAACGGGACAGTGGTCACCTCTCTGGCATTGTGGACATACAGGAGATTTGCTAAGTAGAAACTTTGTTATTACAATATGGAGTAGAGCTGGTCAAATTTTAGCAAACAAAGAAATACTCAACTCGGAATACACAATATGGGAGAATATGAGTAAAGAAGTTGCTAGAGGGGCTGGGAAGGTAGCTGAGTGGTAGAACACTTGCCTTGCATGCCTGAGGCCCTGGGTTCAATTCCTCAGCACCACATAAGCAAAAAGAAAAAAGCCGAGCTGGGCGCTGGTAGCTCACGCTGTAATCCTAGCTACTCAGGAGGCTGAGATCTGAGGATCTCGGTTCAAAGGCAGCCCGGGCAGGAGAGACCGTGAGACTCCTATCTCCAATAAACCACCAGAAAACCAGAAGTAGCGCTGTAGCTCAAGTGGTAGAGCACTTGCCTTGAGCTGAAGAGCTGAGGGGCAGCACCCAGGCCCAGAGTTCAAGCCCCACAACCGACACACACACACAAAAAAAAGCCGGAAGTGGCGCTGTGGCTCAAGTAGTAGAGTGCTAGCTTTGAGCTGAAGAGCTGAGGGACAGCGCCCAGGCCCAGAGTTCAGGCCTCACAACCAGACCCTCCTCCCCCCAAAAAAAAGTTGCTAGAAGTTGGGCTCGGGTGGCTCACACCTGTAATCCTAGCTACTCAGGAGGCTGAGGTCTGAGGATCACAGTTCAAAGCCAGCCTGGGGAGAAAAATCCTTGTGAGACTCTTCAATCAACCACTCCAAAAAAAAAAAAAAAAATTTACTGGAAGTGGAGCTGTGGGTCAAAGTGGTAGAGCACTAACCCTGAGTTCAAGCCCCACAACTGACAAAAAAGAAAAAAAAGTTGCTAGAATCCAGCTCTGCAATGAAGAGGGCCAGCCAGCCTCAAAAGAGGTCTCCACTGGGTGAATGTACCATTAGGTTGAATGTGGCTTTATCCTCTGACACAGAAACTCAGATCGATCCAGAACTCATCTCACCCAGGGAGGTTGGTTAGACCTACAGGCTCAGCAATCTTCAAGCACATCCATTTGATGGAAACAGGCTATGTGGGAAGGCAGGTGATAAAAAGGTCTCCGGGAAA